ATAACATCTTATTACTGCAAACAAAATCACAATTAAGCCCTCTTAAGTTTCTGAATAACACTTTAAAAATATAAAGCCAGTTTAGTTTGAAGAAAATAAAATAAAGTGGGTAGATACACCCTAGGCCTGACAAAATGCCCACATGTTAATCTCCCAGACCAATACCGAAATGCTGCTAAATATTGAGTAAAACATTTGTTGAAGGGGAGAGAAATCTACCCTATAATATTATCATTATGAAGAATTCCAGTGTATGAACAACTAACTCATCTAAATTATCTGTTCACTGAGATGTTTATAGAGTTGTCTGGATATGGTGAGAGAATAATATGGGGGCAAACAGGTGGGTTTGGCCTTGAACCTTCATCCCCCAGACTCTAGAATTAGTTTTCTCTCTCTCTCTCTCTCTCTCTCTCTCTCTCTCTCTCTCTCTCTCTCTCTCTCTCTCTCTCTCTGTCTCTCTCTCTCTCTCTCTGTCTCTCTGTCTCTCTCTCTCTCTCTCTCTCTCTCTCTCTCTCTCCCTCTCTTCCTCTCTCCCCCACCTGTCTCCCTATCCCTCTCCCTCCGTTCCTCCCTCCTTCCTTCTCCTTCTAGCTGGTTAAACATGCATAATAAATCTTTAAATTCCTTATCAAATGATTGATAATCATGACCTAATGAATAAATACATCTATGACCACCAAGGATAGGTTTTAACCATATCCTACAGTAAAGCCAAAGTTTGATGAACATTCAGTGCATTTTCACAAATACAATACCATCTTTTGGGAATTTTTTCCCCATTAAGTATATGGCTTTGTCCTAGGAGAAATAATATCTCATAAAATTTGATGGCCTTTGTATATATTTAACCAAAAGTGAAATATGTTTACAGGAATGTTAAAAATCATATCCATGAATTTTGTTAAGCAATTTTGGGGAAAAAATCTAAATACTTGCAATTTCTTTTAAGTCAAGAATAGCATATCTTCAGGAGTATACCTACCAAAAAGCATAACTATGCCAAACTACAGTAACTTTTTGCAATGATCTAAAAAAAAAGTCCAGATAAATCAAATACGAAATCAGTTCTCCTAATATGGGCACACATGGTTTTTAAGCTGTATGTAAACAACAACAACAAAAAAAACAAATTTTCAGAACTAGGAATGGGGACATGCATTTAAAACAACAACAACAACAACAAAAGATACTTGTGTTACAGGACAAGGCAACTTATTAGTCAAAGAATGACTAAGATGTCACATCATATGACAATTACAAGCGATAATTACTGTCACATATAAGTGACATCAAATTATCTTTATGTTGTAAAGTAAAAACAAAAAAACATACACATCAAAAGGTATATATTGAATCTGGGCAATTTGTATGAAAATAGAAAGTGTAATTTATAGATGAATTTTTAAGATTGAGTTATCAATAGTATAGTGACATTAATTCTGACTTCGAAAGATGTTTAGCCACATGTAAAAAATAGAAGTAAACTCAAAGTTTATATATTAGAGAGCTTTCTTAACCTGTGATACTCTTGTTAAAGAATAAAGTTTTTTTTAATCCTGTATGTCACTGTGATATAACAAATAGCTTATACAACATATAGCTAACTGATATAACATAGCTACATGAAACAACGTACAGCTCTCCTCCAAAATCTTCTTTGCTAGTGTTTCCCTGAGAGCCAAAGCCTGCAGAGAGAACATAAAACTGCTCTTACCTATATTCATATTTGAAGTTACTTGCAGAATTTTTCTGTACTTTAAAAGCTCTATAAATAAACAGCCACAAAAATTCCAATAAGACAACTTTTTTCTTAAAGAAAAGGCACGACATATTTTTTTTTCATAAATGGATCATTTTGCAATGGTGAGGGCAAAACTAGTTTGAGAATTTCCATCTTCTTGTATGCACACAGTCTTTTTTTTTCTTTTTCCCAGGCTGGGTAAACTTCACTTTCAAGACTCCCAAATCATCAATAAAAAGAAATGATTATGGGACACATGACTTTATTGCAGGGCTCCGTATTTGGCGCCCAGTGTGTATTGGATAGATAACCTTTCAGCTTAAAATGAAAACAAAAACAGAACAACACCTCAATCCCAAACACTCAAGTCAACAACCTAGCTAATTCTGGAGTATTTCAAAGGCCTGTTTCCGCAGTACCCCGAGGCCCAAGGAGGCTAGATCCTGATTCTCAGCTGGCAGGGTGATGGGGAAGGGGGGCGGGGTTGTCACTCTCTTCGAATGAATTTGCTGAATGCCTTATCCTTCCAAGGATTCCCAGGACGGTTCCTTCCTCCCCTACTCTCTTTCCTCCTGTCCCCACCCCCATCCACACAGTGGGCAAGCCGAGGATTGTAGATTCCCCCAATGAGAAAGCAGGCTTCGAATTGTCATTGCCTCTCCTCGCTTCCCCCTTGTACCCTAGCAGCAAACCTGAGAGCAACAATCATAAATCTATAATGTGTGTGTGTGTGTGTGAAAGAGAGAGAGAGAGAGA